TTCTTCCTTTACCCAAGAGTGATGCAATTGGGCATTGTTCAATTTCCATGAGTTTGTGGGGTTCTGCAATTTGTGTTATTGCTGAATTCTAATTGTAAGCCATGGTGGTCTGATAAAATATTCTATAGATATATGTTAAACCCAACTGGGTCACAACTTCTGTTAGTTCCTTTGTTTCTTTGCTAAATTTCCACCTGGTAGTCCTGTCCAGTGGTGAGAGTAGGGTGTTGAAATCTCCCACTACAAGTGTGTGGAGTTTAATGTGTGATTTGAGTTTTAATAATGTTTCTTTTACGAATGTGGGTGCCTTTGTATTTGGAGCATAGATGGTTAGAATTCAGACTTCATCGTGATGGAGTTTTCCTATGATAAATTTGAGATGACCTTCTTCATCTCTTTTGATGAATTTTAGTTTGAATTCTAATTTGTTAGATATTAGGATAGCTACACCCACTTGCTTCTTAGGTCCATTTGATTGGAAAATCTTTTCCAAGCTCTGAGATAACATCTGTCTTTGAAGGTAAGATGAATTTCTTGTATGCAGCAGAATGATGTATTATGTGTTCATATCTATTTTGTTAGCCTGTGTCTTTTTATGGGTGAGTTAAGACCATTGATATTGAGGGATATTAATCACCATTGATTGTTGTTTCTTGTGTGTTTTGGATTAGTGTTTGGTCGTGGTATTGTGTGTGAGTTTTTCTCCTATTTCTGGTTTTTTGTTGTTGTTGGTATTTTTTTGTAAAGTGAGATTATCTATTGCCTATATTTTTGTGGGGTAGTTAATTTCCTTGGGTCGGAGTTTTCCTTCCAGAACTTTCTGTAGGGCTGGATTTGTAGATATGTATTGTGTAAATCTGGTTTTGTCATGAAAGATCTTGTTTTTCCCATCTATAGTGATTGAAAGTTTTGCTGGGAATAATGGTATAGGCTGGAGTCTGTGTCTCTTAGTGTTTGTAGAACATCTATCCATTACCTTCTACCTTTCATAGTTTCCATGGAGAAGTCAAGTGTAATTCTGATAGGTTGCCTTTATATGTTACTTGGCCTTTTTCCTTTGCTGCTCTTAATAGGCTTTCTTCATTCTGTGTGTTTGGTGTTTTGATTATTATGTGGCAAGGGGACTTTTTTTTGGTGTTTGGTAAACTTCTTGTACTTTCATAGGCATGTCCTTCTTCAGGTTGGGAAATTTTTTCCATGATTTTGTTGAATATGTTTTCTGCACCTTTGAGGTGGGCTTCTTCGACTTCTTCTATACCTATTGTTCTTAGGTTCGGTCTTTTCACTGTGTTCTATATTTCCTGAACACTTTGTGTTAAGGATTTGTTGAATTTAAGATTTTCTTTGGTCGATGAATCTATTTTCTCTAGTTTATCTTCAGCACCTGGGAGTCTATCTTCCATAACTTGTATTCTGTTGGTTATGCCTGCATCTGTAGTTCCTGGCTGTTTACTCAGCTTTTCTATTCCAGCATTCCCTCAGTTTGTGTTTTCTTTACTGTTTCTATATCTGTTTTCAGGTCTTGGACTGTTTGAATTGTTTCCTTCATCTGCTTGATTGTTTTTTCTTGGCTTTCTTTAAGAAATTTGTTGATTTTTTTGCATTTTTTTGTTTGTTTTTTTTCTTCTATTTCTTTAAGGGATTTTCTCATATATTCTTTGAGGGCCTCTATCATTTTCATGAGGTTGTTTTGACGAGCATTCTCTTCTGTTTCATCTGTGTTGGGATGTTCTGGTCTTGCTGGTGTAGAGTCCCTAGACTCTAGTGAGGTCATATTGGTTTTTCTGTTGTTGACTTTGTTTTTGTATTGCCATCTTCCCATCCCTTCTTCCAGTGGGATCTCATGGGGTCTTTTCCTCTCCTGGTGGGTACAGATGTAAGGTTCTCTTCTGGTGTGTTCAAACAGGTCCAATACTCCGATGGATGGATCTCACAGTGGGTACAGGTGGGTCTGAGAAACTCTAGGTAAGGGGCAAGCCCAGAAAGATTCAAGCAGGAGGATATAAGGAGTTGGGGTCCTGAGCAGAACCCACACTTACCTCAAGAAGAGGAGGGGGGGGTAAAAGGAAGCCAAGACTGAGGTATGGCCAGACACCGGGCTGTCCTTTCTGACAGGGTGAGTTCACTATAGGCCCAGAGCAGGCCCAGGAATATCCAAGCAGGGGGATGTCGGGAGTTGGGGGACAGGATTCTTTGTTGAGAGAGGAAACAAAATAAAATTGAAGTGGGTAAGGAGGTGGGAGGACAATGGAGGAGTTGGGAAAAGGGAAAGGATGTGATAAAATGTATTATAGAAAAATTTTAAATAAGTTCTAAGTATACTAAAACATACAAAATATCCAAAGAACTAATAAAAACACTGAGTGAATTACAAAATAAATTCCCAGAAGAGATTACAGAGGCTCATACCTGAGAGAAAGCCCCTTACTTTAACTCTTGGAACCATGGGTACTCTCTCATTGACCATCTCAGTCTGAGATAAAACTTACAGGGTTTGGGTATTTGATAGAAGGCTCACATGCTGGTGTTCAGGTTGAAGATAGGTGTGTATCGACTGCTTTCCTGATCATCATGAGGACCAGCTAGATAAACATATATTTTGGCTCATGGCTCTGGTTGATTAAGGCAGGGAAGGCACAGCAGTGGGAAAAGTTTGCATATGAGACAACATTTGCATGAGGCAGTTGCTTCTATTATAATAGAAGGCAGGAGCAGAGAGGACTTGGGCAGAAACAGGCCAGAGAACAACACTGAAAAGCCAGAGTAGTACCCACCTTTGTCAGCCATGCTTTCAGACCAAAAGACTCCATAGGTCACAGACAGGGTCACTATGTGGGGGCTGAGTGTCCTCAACACATGAGCCTGTAGAGGACACTTCTGTTCCAAATAACAGTAGGCCCCTATGTTTCAATGACAGGTAATAAATGATTGAAGAATGATAATAAGAAAACAATTAACTTGTTGACCCATGAACTCTCCATTGTGGCTAATTGGACCTGGGAAAGTATCTGCTCCAAACAATAGCTGATAAGTTGAAATGATTAACATGAGAAGGTCCTTCTGGTAGGTAAGTTATTATTGCTGGTTGAGGTATACAATTCTAGATGTAGTTATCAGTTGAGCTCAGATTGGTTTTCTTAGCACTGTCTTCTGCTTCCTCAAATCCAAATGATGAAAGAAACAGCTGTGATGATAAAGAAGTTTGAGAAACCATGTTTCTTTTTCACATAGAGGAAGCCTTCTCCTGTCTTTTTATAGCTTTTTGTCTTTGTCAAAATGGCATTAAAAAGAACACTATAAATTAAATTTCCCAAATGTGTAGCCTTCTATTCATTGATTTTTCCATTTCCAGTCCTTCCAGTTTAGAATCATGTGACACTGAGCACTTCACATGTAATCCTGCTGTTTTTGAGGAGCTTACAAGGAGGTATCTTCCAACATGCTCTAAAAGGCTCAACTGGGCTGCATGTGTCTCAGGACTGTGGAGCATCTTGAACTCTTCCACAAGGGTGACTACAGTGCATTGGTCAGCATTTGTGTCAAGGTTGATTCTAAAGACCTGGAGTCTGTGTAATAGGGGCACGAAAGACCAGATGATTCACCAAGAGATTTCCAAGTCTTGGGTTTTTGTTACTAGTCCATGTCCTCATGGCTGTCTATGCCATTATATATAATTCTCATAGTTGGTGCTGTGGCACCTCAGCCACATTCCCAAACATTCGTCATTCATTCCCATACCACTACCTTCCTAGTACAGTTATTTTGCAGACACATTATTGAATGATTCAAAGAACAGATTACATGTGCTAGGAAGATACATCCTGAGAGTATCCCTTAGCCAAGATAGACAGAACACTGTGACCAAACATCCCAGAATCCTTGTCTTCCACGTGGGCATGCTCTACATTGTGTCACAGAAGTCTCAGTAGAATTTAACCCATATAGACTCTCTCAACCCATCCTGTTCTTCTTGGGTATGGGTGATACCAGGAGTCACCTCACATTTATATGTGCAGGCAAACCCTCCATCACTAGCCTATACCCTGGTCCTATTCTTTAATGCTCACTTGCATACTGACTTTCCTCCTTCCTTAATATTAGTTACCATGGTTTCCTTGGATTACCATGAAGACAATACTTATTTTAGGATTAGCTCCTGAAGGGAGGAAGATACTCCTACATGTTTTTTGTGTGTGATCTAGTATTTTAATTATATGTCTTAATGTATATTAACTGCACATACCAATGAATTTCACTGAGACATTTCCATATACAAAGTTAAGGAGTTTGTTTATTTGTTTTCACTCACAGCTTACAGAGAGCCTAAGATTCAGAGTTCTAAAGAGTGAAATCTTATGCTGCATCCAAATTCATGTTAGAACCCTAACCCCAACTTAAAGAAATAAAGAAGTGTGCATCTTTATTAGAAGATAAGTTCATGAAGACAACATCCCCATGGGGCAATCTATTAAATTTTCTTACAAAAGAGGCCCCTGGGTATTCCCATGTTTCTATTGCCCTATCATGACACAGCAAGAAGACAGCTCTATGAACCATTAAAGCACCAACTCAGATCTCAGTCTTAGATATCAGCCTCCAGAACAGAGAGCAGCAAACTCTGGTTTGTTTACAAACCACCCAGTCTAAAGTATTTTGTTATAGCAGCTAAGACTATAGTCCAGAACACAGAAGAATCAAATAACATACCCGAAAACCATAGCACCAATAAGTAGGAAACTGGATATGCCCATCACCACTATGACACACTGCCTTAGAAACTGAAATAGCCACCACCATGGCGATGGAATGCACACATGGCTTTGTGAATCCAAACATCTGGAAGAGAGCTTTCCTACTGAACTCTTTCCCCAGCTCTAGTGTCTTTTTCATATGCAGCAGTTTCATTGTTGTACCCAATTAAGGCAGGTGCAGTTTCACACTGGAATTTCAGCATTATGCCTGCCGTGTTTTATGAGCCTTTTCTTTGTCCCTGCAGATTCGTTTTCCACTCTGCTTCCTGTCACCCCATAAAACTAACCAAACCACGTAGGATGAGAAGGTAGATAATCCAAAGGTCAACAAATTCAGCTCTTCTGTCATGCTGTGGTGGTAAGTGAAATCGATTTTCCAAAGGAGTTGGAATGAGGCAGATATATATATATATATATATATATATATATATATATATATATATAAAATTAAGACAGTTTCACCTGGAACCTTGTTATAGAAATAAAATATTCTCATATTATAATAACAGAAATGTACTTAAAATGATAAGGGGAAATCCAACCCAAACACGAGACTTCTTACCTGCCCAAAGAAATAAGGATATGACATAAGGTCATAATTTTAAGGTCTGGGGTTAAAGAGTAAAATCGAGACTTTAAAGTGCAAAATGAGTATTTTTAGATGTATAAATAAGCAATGGAAAAAGACAGGTCAGGAGATTTGATTAAGGAAGCTGAACAAGAGCAAATATCTGGGTAAACACAATATGTTTCAGGGCTAGAGACAAGCTAAAGTAAAGGAGGTTAGAGATAAAATATAAGATCACTTTTCACATGTTCCACAGGCTTCACAAAACGATGGGATAATGTATTTGGGGGCATTGGTGGCCCCTAGACTTTCGTTCCTCATTTAGTGCAATTTTACCTGTATTGAATGCTCTGAGCTATAGCTTTTATCACCATGGGATTCACTCATCCCTGTCATTCAGAAAAACAACCTACTTTTAAGCTTTAGGCTGTCACTTGGCATCACATGTTCCTGTCCTGCTTGTCCTCCAACCCACACATAGACACACCTCTCTGGTTCTGCCAAGTGCTCACTGGCAATTTTATGTGCATGTTGTGAGATGCTTGAGTATTTCATGACCTCTGCTGAGATTAGTTCACCACCCCATCACCCTGTTCACCTGGCATTCTCCCACTTGTTCTTAAGACTGATCAATGATACCTCCCCTGATTTACCACATTCAAGCCCACATGACCTCCTTAATGTATTTAGCACTGAGTTTATCACCTATTTTCTTGTTGATGAAGTTTCTCCAGGGCAGTGGACTGTATTTTATTCATCCATTTATAACCAGAACTTGACTAAGACAAGTAAGGTGATGAAATGAAGATTCCTGTTAAACAAAATCAAATCAAATATGTTAGATACAGTACATTTCTAAAGTATTTCTTGTCTCTATGGTTCACAAATCTTTTGCCCCAATGGTTACCAGATAGTATTTTAGATATTTGTCCCCAGGTATCACAGGCAGTAAGGTAAGGTAACTGAAAATGTCCAAGTTGTTTCCATAATATAATGGAGTATCTAAAAGGCCACCATCTCCATAGTAACTCAGCAAAACTCCAACCTGAACTCCTGTAAGACTGTAGGCACTTCATAACAGGGTAGAGTGTTAATTTTTGTTTATCTATCTTACTGCTGGTTGTACACTGAAACACCTGCTGTATACTGTTTAGATGTCCCAGGCAGAGGAACTAGTACTGCTCTCTCAGAAAACTGGGTCACCTATGATACAGTGTCCTATCTTTAAGTCTGGGCACAGCAATCAGATGGAATTTACTGATGGTAAATGGCAATTTGTTGCATTTTGCATTCTCTGATGCACAATATCTTTGATTGCTAGCTCTGTCATTTCAGGTTTGACATCTTTCTATGCGGAACATCTGTGGCATGCAGGATCCTGCTTTTTTAAATTCAGATAATCAGTGATGTGTATAGTAACACCCATTCTGCAGCAAGTTCTGAGTTGTTTTCCACTTTGACACTTCACCAATTTTTTTCTTCATTTTATTGCTCCTTCTTGGCTTGTCTAACTCATACCTCTGTGTCCACCTGAATTTCAAAAATGCTAAGCTGCAGACAAAACAGCAGCTATTTCATTATCAGTTCTTAGTGGGAGTTGGCATTTTAAATACAGAAACACCAACTGAGAGTCACCTGGCCCATCTCTCCCATAGAGATTCCCAACCATCTGTAAATGTCCCCATTTGAAATTCCATCAATATCGCAGTCTCAAAACCTACCATAGTCTCCAGGATGTTCCACATGGGAAGGAAGACTTGGCAAAGGAACGACTCTATCCCAAAATGTAATAATTTTATATCTAGATTCCTTCTCATTATGCTCCCACATAATGACATGCACTTAATATAGTTACTCTTCATGAAAAATAATACTAGCTTAGTCCATATGGGGTGAGTTTCAGGCACCAATAGTATTAAGGGATGGAGGATAGATACTCCTCCAAATGCCTACATATAAAACTGGTCCCCTCTTTTCTGAAGTGTTTGGGGTGACAGAACACTGCACTACTTGTCTGAACACTAGTCCCTGCCAAGGTACCTTCACCAAATAACATATAGCTTTGGTCATAGTTTTATCAAATGTAGAAAAGGAAATGGGAACATACACTAAATAGTACCTACTTTTCTTGCATCCCTAAAATACAGAATAACAATGAAGGAAAATTTTCACATTTAAGAATATTTCCCATGCTGTAGGGAGGTTCAAGAACTACTTTGATGAGCATATAATAGCAGAGCAGAAGTGGTTAAGATTTCTCTAGTTGTGACTGAAGAGATGTTTCAGTGGTCAAGAGCATTTCCAAAGTGTGGTTCTGAGCACTCACCTGGTGTTTCACAAACACCTGTAACTCCAGTTCTAAGGACCCCAACACCTTCTACTGGCCACTGTGGGCTTCAGTCATGCACTTGGCACACAGATATGCATGCATGTCAATATATAACAAACAAATAAAATAAAAATAATTTCTAGTCCCAACTCATAAGGGATGGCAGTTTCTACTGCCTGACTCTGAGAACAGCCATGCAAGATTACTTCTGCCATGGGAAGCCAGCAGCTATATAAGAGGTACAAGTGTGACTCCTCTGAGACCATCATGGGACAAGAAGTCCAGTCAACATCTTTGGAGGATGAGACACCATCTGGAAAGACAAATGCATCAAAGGTCCCTGTCCATGTGTGTAAAGAAGCTATATTAGGTGTGGATGCTTCAACTCTTGCTGTCACAGTTGTGTAAGAGAATGATGAATCCAAGAATAGTATCTCCCCCAATCTCCATGAAAGCCAAACCTGTTCTTAATTCATAACTCTCAAAATCAAAATCAAAATGAACCAATGCTTTCTTCACTCCTGAACACTGGGGATACTTTATTAGGCAGAAGTAGGCACCTGGAATGGGCCATCAGAACTTTATGGAAATATGGTTTTATGCATCAAATATGGGATGATGTTAACTGCAAGCCTGTGACCTTCTATGGACACCAACATCTGGCCTTGTAACTCAAAACCTCTTTTACTTAGTATCAACAGAATACTGTTCCTTCGCAAATTCAAATATTTGTCTCTGTTAATGAAGCAATGGAGGATCACCATTGACTAGTTTAAAGAGTTTAATGAACCTTAAAACACAGGTGGCTTGTGTTTGAACAGAAGCCAGGAAGCCTCTTCTGCTTGATGTTACAAAACTGAGTCAGCAGAATACCCCTTTACTGAATAACAAGATTTGGGGAAGAGAAAGTCATCAATATAATATCCCAGATGGTCACAGTCTTTCCATACTGACATCCTTCCTGTTGTGCTGGCCAATCACAATAAATTTCACTGCAAAACTTTGTTTTAAAGCTTGAGAAACTTCTTCCAGGCTGAGTCTTTTCTCCAATCACTTTTATAATTCTTTCTTTGTTTGTTTTCACCTATACTCAGTTTTCACAATGAAAAGACAGATTTAGGAGAGTTTAAGTATTTAAACTAGATTTTTATGCTTTTTGCAGTGTGTGTGTGTGTGTGTGTGTGTGTGTGTGTGTGTGTGTGTGTAGGTGCAATACATTTTGCTGGTACACTTTTAGGTTTGCAGAAAAAATTAAGTGATAATCAGAGTTCCCACATACCCCTTTCCTCCAATTTCCCTGAGTTTTAGTACATGGAATCACTACAGTGCTTGTGGTATTCACAATAAGTCAATATTTTCAAATGATTACTATGGTCTTTTGCAAGTAATTGACCCCTATAAGCTCATAGGGAGTGGCACTATTGGGAGATGTGGCTTTTTTGTAGTAGGTATGGCCTTGTTGGAGGAAGCGTGTCACTGTGGAGGCAGACTTTGGGGTCTCAAATATGCTCAAGCCACACCCAGTGTCTCACACCACTTCGTGTTGCCTATGGATCAAGATGTAGGATCTTAGCTACTTCTTCAGCACCTTGTCTGTCTATAGCCACCACGTACTGCCATAATGATAATGGACAAAATCTCTGAACTGCAAACCATCCTATTAAATGCTTTCTTTTACAAAAGCTGTCATGGTCCTAAGGTCAAAAATACTGAGGACAGCTTATGAGGACAGGAGTATAAACTTTACAACCATTTTGGAAATCAGTATGACAGTTTCTCAGAAAACTGGAAATCACTCTACCTCAAGAGTCACCATTACCACTCTTGGACATATACCCAAAGAGTGCTCAATTGTACCACAAGGACACTTGCTCAACAATATTCATAGCAGCAGCATTATTTGTAACAGCCAGAACCTGGAAAAATATAGATGTCCCTCAACCAAAGAACAGATAAAGAAAATATGGTACATTTATCCAATAGAATACTACTCAGCTGTAAAAAAATCATGAAATTTGATGATAAATGATGGAACTAGGAAAAAAATCCTGAGTGAGGTAACCCAGACTTAGAAAGACAAACACAGTATTCATTCACTCATAAGTGGATATTAGATATAAAGCAGAAAATAACCAGACTACAGTCCACCACTCCAGAGAAGCTGGGTAACAAGGAGAACCCTGAGAGGAACTCATGGATTGCCCTTGGAAGAGGAATTCAATGAGATCTCCTGATGTGAGGTGGTGAGGAAAGGGGAGGGGATAGGGAATGAGAACATGAGGGAATGAGATGGTGGGGGGAGGTATGGAGAGGGAGAGCAAGGAAAGAGATACCTTGATAGAGAGAGCCACCATAGGGTTATGGAGAAAACTAGTGCTGGCAAAATTCCCAATAATCCAAAAGAATGAATCCAGCTAGGACTACTAGCAATTGCAGAGAGGGTACCTGAACTGATCTTCCC